GAGAGAGAGAGAGAAACACGCCGAGATGAAGTGAACGATAGTCTTCAAAAGTCATGAAATTCTGAGAATGACAGCTGACGAAAGTGTGGTGGCCTCACGCTGACCACCATGATAGCCTGAAGGTCCTGAAGCTCTTCCACTGTTGCACACTGAATCCACAGATACTGTTAACGACCGTGAAACATAGATGTAGGCATCTACGTCGTGATCCAAGCCAGGACTTCGTCTTCGTTGTCTATCTCACACAAGCATGAAAGCTCCAGACGAACTGAAAAAGTATGGAAAGCATAATGCCGTGATAAATTATTAATGCCATGATTGAAGGTAGGAGTATCTCCGCCGAGTGTATCATTAGGATGCCGGGATCATTCCTCAATCCTGATGCTGAGATTCCTAGGTCTACCAAAGGGATAATTGGTAGAAGGCGCCCACGCCAAAACCTTTTCGGTTTTGGCCGCCCAAAGTTGGGCCGTTTGGTACTACCGGCCCAAACAACTTTCCCCTGGGTGAAAGACGCCTTCGCGCCGTGACCACATCTCCCTGGGCCTGTTTTTACCGGTTCAAGAATTTGGCGCTGTTTCTCCGCCAGATTCATGAACTGGCAGGGCCCTTCTTTTTCAAAATGGCGTACCTGGGCCTCATTCGATACTTCAGTGTTACCACCCCCGGCCTCTTTTACATCAAAATGAATCTGGCACTGTTATGCGCCATATTCAGGATCCGGTAGGGCCCTTGGAGCGACTTGTGGGCCTGTAGTACCCCACATGCAAGTCATTGAGCCGGTAGTACCAAACGGCTAAACTTTGGGCAGCCAAAACCGAAAAGGTTTTGGCGTGGGCGCCTTCTACCAATTATCCCAATACCGCCAGATCTATTTAGGAAAAGTGGGTCTGTGACAGCTTGATCTGGGTAATAGCGAATTTCCTTTTCCTTTTTGCGGCCAGGGGGGGCCACACAATGCTCCAGTCTATTCGTTGGTAGCGACACATGCTGGGAACGGCGCCCAGCGCCCATATGCAAGTCATACAGAAGTGGAGTACTGCGGCCATGACCTGGCTTCAGCTAAGAACAATTGGAAGATTCAGAAAACTTTGGAAAATGACATACTACTGGCATTAACTTCGGAAAACATTGAGCAATCTCTCCATGAGGACCTGGCTTCAGCTGACGGAGAAATGATCACCCTTGCCTTCTTGTCCATGCTTGCCACCGAAGTTGCCGGTGATAAGCAACCTGACTGACGGTCCCCTGAATAGATGGTGCAGAGTGTGTGTTTGTGTTGGAAAACAAAAAGGAAAACGATCTCCCATCACAAGACGAGTAAAGGCAGAAGTGCTCTCAACAGAAGTCTATTACAGGGGGTTTGCCAGCAATTGCTCCACTTTTCCATCTGCCTCCTGCAAAACGCACAGACAAATACAAACATCTGCAGAACAGAACCCCCAGTCCACCTATCCCCCAGCTAATCCTAACAGGGCAGGAGCCAGCCAACTGAGTCCCCTTCTAAATTCTGGGGCAGATCTAACCTCCTGTCTCCATCTCTCTCTCCTGACAATTGCCTGTGTTTAGAGTTTAGATAAGTCAAAGAAAAGTGCCTTAAAGGCTTAAACTACCACTACCTTTCTGGGGCTGCGGGCCTGCAAAATCAAATTCGGAGGCCGTGCAGTCATGATGAAAGTTATCAAAGGCGGCTCGGCGGCGGCGGCGGCGGCTACGTTTTCGGAGTACGCTACTAAAAGGGGATAATTGGTAGAAAGAGCCAACGCCAAAACCTTTTCGGTTTTGGGCCCCCGAAACTTGGCCGTTTGGTACTACCGGCCCAAACGTCTTCAGCCTGGGTGAAAGGCGCCTTCGTGCCGTGGCCACATCTCCCTGGGCCTGTGTTTACCGATTCAAGAATTTGGCGCTGTTTTTCTGCCAGATTCATGAACCGGTACCGTACGTGGGCCTCATTCTATACTTCAGCGGTACCACCCTCGACCTCTTTTACATCAAAATGAAACTGGCGCATGGCGCTGTTATGCACCAGATTCATGATCCTGTAGGGCCCTTGGAGCCGTGCGTGGGCCTCTTGTACCCCACATGGAAGTCATTGGGCCGGTAGTACCAAACGGCCGAGTTTCGGGCGCCCAAAACCAAAAAGGTTTTGGCGTGGGCGCTTTCTACCGATTATCCTTACTAAAAATGCCCACGGCTCATGTATGGGAAAGGTAGTCAGTGTGGTGGTTTAAGGGCTTAGCGCAGCACCTCAGGGAAACACACTCACATCAGAAAGTGAGGGCGATTTACTCAACAGAGTGAACAGTTCAGATATTCCACTGCTTTCGTCGACGGCTTCTATATTTTATGGTAGGGATTGCTTATCACCATACGGGGAGCGATGATCTCAGTCCTTGGCTCCTTGTCGGTCAGAATGCACCTACCACCATGTCCACATTAAAGATGGCCAGGTCCGTGGTCTGCACCAGGGTGAACCTACCAGGCTTCAGGTACACAGTCCTCAGGAGCTTGGGTACTCCACTACAAGTCTATGGTTGTTAATGTTGATCAGCATCCCCGCGTTATCCGCGACGGGATCTCCATTGTGGCGCAGCAGAACAATCTCGTGACAATGCGACCACAAAGAGACGGAGTGGAAGGGCTTTGTTTCAACAGTCCAGTCAAGCGTCGTCTCAGAGAATTCCGTCACCTCGTAGCGTTTCGAGTAACCAATCTCCTTGGTTATGCTTGTTTGAGTCTCAACGTATGGTCCCACACTGAGTTTCAGAGGGCCGAGCTTCGCCCTCATACCAATGCCGGCTGCCACACTCGCTTCGATGTGGGTTCTGACTGTAAACTCCTCGGTGACTTTGGTGATGATTCCGAATGTGACCTGCTGGCTGACCGTGAGAGCCGCGCTGATGTTAGCCCCACCACTGTGGACCTCCAAATGGTAGTAGATGCCCCTCTCCATCTTGTAGAAAGGAGAGTTTAAGACCTGCCATGCAGCAGTGTGATTATTGTCGCTGACAATGGTGCACGGCACGACGACGATATTGTCGACAACCTTGGGCGTGTCGGGAGGAAAAGGCATGTCGTGCGATGTGACATTTGGACGCGGATCTGCAACTGGCGGCCTGTAGACAATGGGAGGAAGTTCGAGCAAGTATGGTGTTGCACTGGGGTTATTATCGTAGATAGTACCTGCCAGAAAGCCATTCACGAGGAGAGAGAGGCGCTCCTTCTCGTCCGGGGGATATTGAGCCATCTCGATGCCATGGATCGTGACATCGCAAGCAGCACCGGACCCGCGGTCATCCCAAATGAGGCCGGCAAATTTAGCCTCGCGGGCATAGCTGTGGTTAGCGATAGCTGGATTGAGAGCAACACAGACAAAGGGCCCCACTCCAGGAGCTGGTGGAGCCCAGGAGTCGACGACAATGTCTGACAGACAGACATAGCCTGTGGGGGGGATGGGCCGCCACACAGACCCATGAAGATGCGCCCCGGAACCTTGGTCCGTCCACATCTGAGCGAAGCCAACTGGCGACTTCAGAACGGGCACACTTGCGTCCACATTCCGTGCCACAATCGTCGCCACAAGCCCGCCAATGGGTTGATAGTGAGGCACGGCAACCTGAGAGAGAACCCTCCACCCTTGTTCGAAGTCTCCGTGACCAATTGCGGGAGAGAAGAATGCAACATCTTTGGTGGACCCTGAACCCCGGTCATTCCACATGGGAGCGTACAATGCCGTAACACCGATCATCAGGTCTCCGTACCGCATGCTTTGGATGGATGCAGGCAAGTGGAGGACATGTACGGTTCGAACTGGCTTTACATCTTAGATGTTCGAAGCAATGTACCCTTGTAAAAGACTTTCCACACTCCCCATATACCCTGCGTCATTGATACGCCAGATGGAGCAATCGAATGTCGCATGGGAGCCACGGTCATCCCATACAAAGTCTCCAATGGCGGCTTCCTTGGCGTAGTCTGCCCGTACACAGACATGAGCAGCCATTGCGCCCTGTCCAGGCATGGGCTTCGAGCGACTGGCGACAAACACGTCGCCAAGACACACAAATCCTTGAGCTGGCAGGGGTCTCCACACCGAGCCCAGCATTAGCGCAGGCTGCGACATTGTGCCCGAACCGCTTTCATTCCAAATCCACTCGTAGTCCACCGGGGGGGCCAAGACAGGATTAGATGAATTCACATTTCTTGCCACTATTGTGACAGCCACATCCCTGATGTCATTGTAGCTGGGGCGACTGAATTGACCCAGAACCCTCCACCCTTGACTATACTCCGCTGGGGTCAAATTCGCCTCATAAATGACCAAGTACAGCTTTGCCCCTGTTCTGTAGTCCAGCCAGGCTGCGCGGACCTTGGAAATTGCAGCTACCTCCAAGTCGCCAAATCGAACAGGTTCGAGCTCCACGGCCTGTTGCTGAAGTTCACGTCTTTCGGGGCCTGGCACGCTCATCTTCGCCGTCTTCTTGACATTGTCAGGGCCATTGAGATTTACGCTGACATGATCTCGAGCATGACCGCGAAGTAAGGGGTGAGGAGCATCATTGCGGCTTGTTGCTGCTGCCCTGTACGTTTCAGCAAATGCTCTCTCCCTCCCACTATCATCATCCAGCGTGGCCACTTCATCACCAAGAACACTCCGGCACAGGATCGCACAGCTCATCAACAGAATGAAGGCAGCCATACCCCCCTGGCTATTGAACAAGGTGAAGTGCCCACCCCTCGCTCTGCAGAGCCTCATGCTGCAGTTTAATACACTTCTAGGAAAGTTAATCTTCCTCCCTTGAAGTCCTCCGGCTCTCACTTTGTAAAGCTCCCTTTCTCTGTAGCAAACACATCTACCCCCTACAGAAAAATGAATCAAACACACACACACACACACACACCTGTCTCTTATACACATCTAGATGTGTATAAGAGACAGGTATGGCACAGG